TCATGGATGTGATTTGGAGGGCTTTCGAAGGAGAGCGAATGAGGAGGTAGTCCCTCTCTGCTCTCTCTGTGCCTCGCCGTTTTGCAATGTGATACCCTGCCATCACCGTCGCTACCACCAAGGCCTTCACCAAGTGTCTTCCCTGGACTTTGAACTTCCCAGCTTCAGAGACTGTAAGCAAATAAATTTTGTTCGATTTATAAAATATTCAGTTCCGTGTGTTATAAGCAACAGAAACAGACTAAGACACGGGCCATGAGAAGCCTAGGATAAAAAACGTCAACGTCAGCAGCATTAAAAAGCTTGGTACTAGACGTGAAGTAGAGAGAAAGAGCAATATCTTCAAAATACAGGTGTTACAGAGAAAGGCAGCTCGATGTAGGGCAGCAATTCTTGTGCGGACGCCAAAGTCCCCAAGACCCTTCCATAGGGTCCATGAAATCAAAACTGTGTTCAGAATAATAAGACATGACTTGCTGTTTTATTGGACTGACATTTATAGTGACAGGGCAAAAGCAATAGTGGGTAAAACTGCTGATTCCTTTGTACAAATCAAGAAAGAGGCACCAAACTGTATTAGTAGGTAATCATTGCATTCTTCTCTACCATGCACTCACATTTATAAATAATTTCACCAAAGCATATCCTTGTTGAAGTAGTATAAATTATTAAATTTACTGTATCTCAATCTTCAGCACATTCTTTTAATATTTTGTGTGATGAAATGGGAAGTACGCAAGAAGCGTAAAGAATTACTGCTGCATTCCAAAGGATGCTAATAGTCTTGAAGAAAAAGATGACTGTGAGTGCTGTAGTCGCAAGGTGAATGAACTAACTTTGAGGGGTTTTTTAATCTATGAAATGTAAATTCTAGTTGTTCAGATTTGGAAATTTGACATACAGATATTTTGCAGCAACACTCAGGAAAAGATTCACAATGGTCTGAAATCAGTAATAGTGTGGCTGCATAGGCTATCTATGAGATACAAACTAAAACACAAAGATGAGATACTCCGACCACTCACTTCCTACTGATAGGAGCAAAGAGTGTTAGCATCAGAAGCAACATCAGCAGCCTTCTTATCTAACACTTCACCTAAAGCAAGAATCTCTTCTAAAACCTCTGACATATTATCTCATCTCTACTAACATATTTCCGGTTGTTGTAGACCTACCACCTCAAAAGGCAGTTCATTTCATATATTATAAACTGTTTTTTTTTCCATTGTACACGTTTAATTATACAAAAAGCTTATGATCGTGCATTTCTAATAAGTTCCCAAGTGCTGCTGCTGCTGGTGGTTAGGGACCATACTCTGAGAACCACTGACCTAGGGGTCTAACTCCAAGGGTCTTCCTCACACAGCTTATAGGTAAATAGTTCTGAGTTGCATGCAACTGACTCGCAACAGTGCTCATTCACAGTTTTGAGACTGTCTGGGTGATAAACTATGAATAACGGTTTGTTACTAAAAGAGCAGTGGTGTGAATAATCCGGTATCGTGGATAATCCAAAAGCCATTTCAGCTTGGTTTTGGAAAGTGTTCAAGTCAGATTTTAATTTTGCAGCAGCACTGGATTTGCCTTCATAAATAGGTTTTGCTGAGGCCAATGCTTAAATCGAGTGACTGTTTCCTGGGTAAACACATGCTTTCTTCATGGGGGAGAGGGGGATAAACCTGGCACTCATAATTCACAAAGCAGACAACCTCCCTGAAGGATAACACAGCTGAGTCCACATAGGACACTTTAAAAACTGTAGCTCTTAAGAATATGCATGACAGCTGGGAAGATTTGGGTAAAATGTCTCAGTTCTTTTTTCTATACATTCCTATACTAATTAAACTTATGTAGCTTATAGCATTCAAACTGGTTCCACTATACCCTCTGCCCAACTCTACCAAAATAAAAATGATAATTTGTGTATATGTGTGTACAAAGATGCACACATGCTTATAATTTTGCCTTAAAAGAAAAATGCTATCCAAAAGCTCACAAATCCCTTTGGTATGACTGATAGGCATGTCAAGGCTTGTGGTTAGAGGTAGTTACAGTGTGTAAGAGTAGTTTCCAAATGTGATTTGTGTGTGGCCTGTATCAGAAGAACCTGGGAATTTAAAAATACATATTTCATTTCCTTCACCCCTTTGCTGAAACTCTGTGTTGGTAGGTGTCTTTATCTGCCCTCTTCTGATGGCCTAGTTTTTATTCTTTCATTTCAGTATCTCATCTATAACAGAAAAAATCCTGTTACAGCTAGACAAACTTATGGGTATTTGCAAGAAAATCTATTTAAGGGCTTTGTAAATAAAATCTTGTTCCCACAGAAACGTAAAATAATCCCCAGAAATGGACGAAATGGTAACATTACCTGCCAATTTTTAAGTATTTATCTAAGATCAGACACTGTGCTAAATGCCACACATAAATTATTTTAATTAATACTCAGAAAACCTATAAAGAAGGTCATTTTCTTAGCTTCATCTTACAGGTGAGAAAACTGTGGCCCAAATCACATAGCTATGGAGTGGAAGAGCTAGGAGTAGAAACCTCCTGTTCCAGATTCAAAGTCCATCCTTTCAACCATTGTGCAATATTGCTCCCCAAAGGGAACTATGCTAATTAAAGTATCTATTTAAGAAAAACATCTCCTTGTAAATTAACTTGTATACCAATCACCTCTTATGCACCACTTCAGAGCTTCTTGGCAGTAGAAACCTCCTGTTCCAGATTCAAAGTCCATCCTTTCAACCATTGTGCAATAATGCTCCCCAAAGGGAACTATGCTAATTAAAGTATCTATTTAAGAAAAACGTCTCCTTGTAAATTAACTTGTATACCAATCACCTCTTATGCACCACTTCAGAGCTTCTTGGCCTCATCAGTTTCTGGCTATTTGTCCCACCCCAGCTACCTCTGACCAACTGGACCCAACGTCCCACAGGTGCAGTCCAACAGCATCACACCTCCTGTGTGCTCTGTGCACTGCTCACCTCTGTTCTCAGGTCTTCCCTTTGGATGCTGAGGTGGCAGATGCTCCTAGGTACTATGAGGAAATTGATGCCCCACATGAGTGACACTTGGACCAGTGGGAATCTGGGGGGAGCCATCTACAAAATTCTCTAAAGACAGCCCTCCAAGATGCAGCTATCAGTACTGCTTGATATGAAGTGGTTGCTAACTTGTTAACATGTGTTAACTGGCTTATTGGTTCTCACTCCTTCCCTGCCTGACACTCCTTCAGTTAGGTTCCTTTCAACTGCATCCCTTTCATAAAATAATACCTCAAAAGCCTTTGTCCGGGCTCTGCTTTCTGGGAAACTAAGGCTGAGACAATTTGGAAACTCTCAACTCCAGGGTGCACGCAAGGAGCAGTGTTGCTTTTAATCCATTGGGGGTGGGAGAGAGAAGAAGAAGAAGAAAACAAGAAAATGAGATGAACTATAGGAATCCTATAGTTCATCACCCTGTTCCTAAAATATGAGTGTCTCCTTCAAAACTATTGCTGGAAACAGCATTTCTCTACTAGAGCCATTCAACACAAATATTGCCAAAGATTTAAAAGAAAAGAGGTGCACAGTTGTGAACAGGCAAATAACGAATACCTGTTTTTCCTTTCTTACAGAAAGGTTTGTCTGCCTCCCTTTGGCTGCCTCGAGGCCTGTATGAAATTCACCATCCTGGGAATCCAGTACATTGAGGCCATGGCTTGTTAAAGGTCTTCCCAACAAAAGGAGAGAGATGAGCCTCCTGAAACCAATATCAGAAAATAAAATGGCCCTTGCAGGCCTCACTCCAGGTGGGACTGAAAAACCACAGCTATTTCCCCAGAAATGGAGCAGTCTGGGGAAGGTGTGGCTCAGAGCCAGAGCTGGAAATGAGCAGGTGTGCCTCCCGAGACAGGCTCCCAGCACCTTCCCCAGGCGAACAAAATTAACATGTGTTTCCTTTCTCTTCTATTCTAGGAAATCCTGTCCAAGGGACCCAGAAAACAGAAACAATAAAGGAACAGAAAATAGCTATTTCAGAAATCCTTAGAAAGCGTGTATCTATATATGCTGAATGAAATGGAGAGCTGAAGCATGAGTCTCAATATTCCAAGCTCCAAACATATTGGCCTTGCATCAGTTTTCAGTTGTGAAGGCACTAGATAATTGCGTGCTTTATCACATGCTCCTGCACTTAAGGCATTTTGCTAGTGTATGTAAATTCACCAGAGTTCTCCATAATCATAATGACCTAAGTGCTGAGCAACAGATCAGATAAATAAACAGTTTCTAATGTGGTCATGCCAGGGGTAGACTAATAATGTAACTGCATGCATGTGTGTGTATGTGTGCATGTACGTGCATGTTCAATATTCAACACTTAACTTTCTGAAGGAGTAGTGGATTTAAAAATGGATGTGAGCTATTATGATATTGATTCAAAAAATACATATTAAGTTTAAGTGACTTGATCTATGCCGAGATTACTTTATAGTAATAAACATGCATAAAACACAATACTAACTTTCAGTGAACTCGAGGCTGTCAGGAAGATTGTGGTTATGAGTATTGTTATAATAATGGTTGCTAACGTTGAGTATTTACTATGGTATTATATTTCTTTGGACATGTTATTTCATTTAATTCTCATAATGACCCAGTTAGGTAAATATAATCATTCTCATTTAACTGATGAATAGAGACTCAGAACAGTTAAGGGTCATATCTAAGATTACACAGCTAGAAAGACAGAAGAAGGGACTAAGTTTTGAACCAGATTTGTTTGTCTACAGAGCTGACTCTACTATCTTGCCTTTCTAAATTATCATTTGATTTCCATAATCATAGTAAACAGGACAGTGACTCCTCCCATTTTGCAGTGAAGAAACAGAGATTAAGTGAACCAGTTAATGAAGTAACTAGTACTTGAACCTTTGTTCCCTTTGATTTCAAGTTTAGAGCTCTTTTCCCCACACCAACATGCAAGGAGCTCTGCAAGCTTCTCTGCCTTCTGCTCGGGAGAGCCTCAGGCTTTATCCTGGAAACCTGTGGAGGTGCAGAGGCGTGGGGGACCAGGCACCTAACCTCCTCATCAGCAAGTGTCCTGTTTGAACATGCACCTGCCCCGCTTGCTGCAGTTGATCAATCCAAGGGTAGGCAACTAAATCAAAACATACTAACAATTTCCATTCCCTGAAATGTTTGTAGTTTGGACCAGAGAGAGTTCAGGCCTTTTCTTTCTGGAGATTGCAGCCAAACAGATGCAAGACTCAGAAGCTTCCTTTGCATTCCTTTACTCCTTGTGAACAGAACTGTTCTGCAGTAGAAAGAATGAACCTGACTCCCCAGAAAGAAGCAGTTTTAAGAGTCAAGAGGAAAGACTTGGCAGCATTTGAGTTTCTGGATTCATCTGTCCTGTGGTGTGCTTCCTTATCTGCCTTTCTTCTGGTGTGTTTGCTCAACCTTTTCCTAAATTCTGTGAGTTAATAAATTCCTTTCTTGGACTCAGCTTAATTCTAGTTTTGTTTGTCTCATGTATAACCAAAAATACCTTAATACAGGATCCAATGACAAAATAAACCAAAAAGACACTTAAAAAGCACCAAGTTAATTGTGAAAGCATATGATCATTTTTTGAGGCACTCATCTTTTTCACCAAATTTGGACCTTCCCTTACTATCTGATTCATTCAGTCCCAGCCTGATCTACCAGCAGAGCCCACATGCCGTGTCCAAGTGAGTGCACACCATCTGGCAGCCACAGGGCAGCACCCCCTGCTCCCACACTGACTTGCACAAGGTGCATTCTCAGGTCCATCATTTCGGGATGAGGAAAGACTTCTGCTTTGGTTCCGTAATGATAGAATATGTACCAGCTACTGCCATAACTGCCTGGCAACTAATGGGGATGGGGAGGCAGGGAGCAGATGTAAACTTTGGAGTGAGAAGTTTTTTCTCCTAATACTTCAAATAACAAAGGCCTAAACAGAAGAGTTCTGTGGCTGGAGCTGGAAACAGGGTTATCTTTTGTTGGGTCCAAGGCAGGGAGCAGATGTAAACTTTGGAGTGAGAAGTTTTTTCTCCTAATACTTCAAATAACGAAGGCCTAAACAGAAGAGTTCTGTGGCTGGAGCTGGAAACAGGGTTATCTTTTGTTGGGTCCTCCTAGACATGAGCCTGAGAGAAGGATATGGGGGTACATGATCTATGGAGGGAGGACTTTAGTAGATACTATCATAGATCCTCACAGGTGAGTCCCTTCAGCTACCAATCCAACCGTGCTGTGGTTAGAATAATTAAGCCCACCTTGCTTCTGGTGGCTAAGTGTTGCCTGTGGCCTCTCTGCTCTGGAATCTTATTATCCCTGCTGCTACTGGGATTTCAGGTCTGTGCCATCTCCTACTGTCTGCCCAACCTTCAGAGGACACCCGCCACTGAGATTCTCAACCATCCTGTGATGCTGGTACTATCCTTACTGGTGCTTCCTTATCACTTTGGTATGCAGAATGCCCCTGGTGATGCCCCAAGGATATAATCAGCTGGTGGGTTTTCTATTCTTGTATAGTAGAATATAAGTAAGCTGCTTCTCAGCTTTCCCTTCCAAGCGTGCCGCTTCCCAGAGCTTTCTGATGCCTTTCTCCACTGTCTGCCATGGCAGTTCTGGAGTCTCTATGCAGTTTAATGTGGGCCACCACTTAATCCAAGCTTCCAAGGCTCACTGCAGAAACATATTAAGACCATCTTCCAGACCATCTCTACCAAGGATGTTAAGTCCTCTGACATGGAATAGTGCCCCTAAATAAACAAGGTCTTGGTAGCAGAGTTGCACAGCAGAAGCATGCTGGGCCCATAAACAAGGTCTCCATTATCCAGTTTAATATTCTGCCTACCTTGATCCCACACCGTCAGAATCCACCTAAGGTCTACTCTGCCAATTCCAGTTAGTTCATGATAGGCAGGTCCTATGGCTTCTTGGGCATATGATTCCTCCCACATCTCAGCAGTCCCAATACTTGTTGCTGTCTGCTCCTCGTTATTGGTCTGGTCACCTGGAGAGGAGGTGGAGAGAGATCCTGAGAAAGACCAGCATTATCTTATAAGCCACCTGCCTCATTTGAGGTTTCTCCATAACCTCAAGCAAATGGGGGGGGGGGTGCTCAATCCACCGACAAAAAAGTGAGACATTTCTTCAGGCCCAGAGGGATCAGGGGGATCTGAAAGTTCAAGTTGCTCAAGTACATCTACCCAGGCATCCTTATCCCAATCTCAGGTCCTCACTCTTTGTCTATCCAGCCCTGACTTGGCATAGGAGAATGCCTAGGCTGAGAATTTCAACTTTCTCTGAAGTTCTGCCTATTTTTCAATTACGTCCTGTGTATGGTCCCCAACATCTCTTCCCTGTACTTGCAGGTGATGAGGGTCTCTTTAAATCCTGCCAAGGAGGACCCCTGACCCTCAAGCTTTACTTTAAATTGGTCATTGATTCTTCTGAGCCTGTCATTCTCTCTCTTAAAAGCATCAATAGTAGTCAGCACAACATCATCATTATAATTAACATTTTCCTGCATCTTTCAAATTTTAGAGATATTGCACAAGTCAGGGTACTCCCAACTGTGATCTGTACTAGGTCACCCAGGTGAAAGTCTTAGCTTACCAAGTGCATTGCCACCTCATGCTAGGGCTACCGCTACTTCATATGCCATCAGTGACAGTATCCTCATTGTCAACTGGCTGGTAGGTGATCCAACTCCAAAATTTCATCCCAGCAATCCGCCTCCTAAGAGCACTTGTGGTACCAACTCTGTCAGGCAGGTTTCCGAGCAGCAGAAACTGAGAGGAATTCAGGTGCTGTATGAAAGGAGTGCCCTTTAAGCTTTGCTTCTTTCTAGGATCACATGATCCTGTATTGTGCTTTTCTGTGTGTATCTACTTAACTGTCTCCACCCACAGTTCTCTCCTTCTTTCTCTTCTTTCTCTGTCTGTCTCAAGACAAACGTCTATTCTTGGGTGCACATAGCCAAGGATGGCAGTCTAAAACCAGTTTAAACCTCTTCTCTTCAAATAGCAAACAGTCTTTTCAGTATCTCTGATTTATAATTCCAAATTTTAGATTGAGGAAAAAATTTGGTTGACCGCGCCATGGTAAGAGCCAATTAGCCATGACCATGGGATGTTGTCACTAATGTGACATAGTAAAGACACAACTTCTTGAGCTTATTCCTGTAGATAGCCAGAAATTACTCAGAGAAGAGAATAATAGGTTGAGCAGACACTTCAAACTTTCCTATTAGAGTATCCTTCTATAGAAATAGACCAACCAGCTTACTGATATGAGAGTTAGAGTAACTTACAGAGAATGAACTATTCCAATACTTTTTAGCAAAATGTCTCTCTTGCTTCAATAAGACATGAGAGGCCGTGTAGACTTGTGTGAAGACAGTAGAACAGAAGTTCCATGAGAACAGAAATTGTTTATTTTTCTCAGTAATGTACTCCTCACACTTACAAAATTACTTAAGTCATAGTTGTCAGTAAACTTTTTAAATGAATAAATTAATAAATGCCTAATGTCACAATGATCAGCTTTGCAGTTCTAGATTCGCACATTGGATTCTGGCTCAGTTTTCACCTCTATAAAATGGGGATAGCAATAGTACCTACTTTACAGGGTTATTGTCAGGGTTAAGTGAATATTGACTTCACCATATTGACCACATTTCTAAGCACATAGTAAATATTCAGTAAATGATTATTAAGAGTTAGAGTATAATAATAGCTACTGCAATGGGGAAAAAAAGCCATAGAATTCAGAGTAAACAACACTTTCACTAGAGGAAGATGCATTTTCCTTTTTAGGAGAATTGAGATAATAACGTAGATGAGTCATTAGAGCAGAACCAAAGGCAATCATCCCTGCAAAAGCAGATCTTTCCAATTGGTCAGAGAAAATAACTAAAAACTGCAGCAGCAGCAACAATAAAACTGCTAGCATAAAATCTCTTCTGACAGTTCTGCCTCTTGAGAACCAGTGGCCTTTGTTCTGCCTTCTCGGCAAAAACTGTTACATGTCCATGTAGGAGTGATTTGAGGAAAGTAAAATGTACTATAGATGCTATCTGTACTGTCTAACTAAGAGGCCTTCAATATACAGCCAAAAAAAGAGTCTAATTTTGAGCTAATAGCTGCTAGAATGAAGACTGTGTTTAACTCTCTTCCACCTGCTTTTTTTTGTTTTCTTTTTTCTCTCCACCCCTTGCAAACAGCACAGATGGGGAGGAGAAAAGCAAATGATTCAAACTGGTACATTACGTGGGCACAAACAAGTTAGGAAAAAACATCTTTGCATGGTGAGAAAAATTCCACTCCTTTCTTGGACAATTTCTGAAGTATCTGAAACCATGGCAACTAATATAAATGTAGCCAGTGCATTGTACATTCCCAGTCTGAAACAATAAAAAACAAACTTAATCTGTTAAAAAAAAAGTTAAAAATAAACATAACTTTAACAACAGACTTCAACTGGCTTCTTATTTCGTCTGATAAAAACTTATGAAGAATGAGTATTTTGAAATAAAAAGAACTATTTATATTTAGTTTATCTAAAAATATTTACATATACATATGTGATGTATATGTGTGCATACACATGTACATAACAATGCATATATAATATATAGGCAGATATTATATGCATATATATAAAATACGCATATACACATATTCCTGGTGCTAATTATGTTCCTAGAACATAGCATTGTTGAAAAATAATAATCATATATTAATAAATGTATAAATAAGTATGTTAATAAGCATATATAATATGTAATTAATATATACAACAATACCATGTGTTGGGAAAAAACTTGGCACTGAGAATATAGTTATGGGCAAATATGATTCCTGCCCTTAGGGCATATAGCCTTTTGGAGAAAAATAGACATTATTATACCAACAAAATGAATGCATAATTACAAACAATTCTAAGTTCGATAAGGGGAAAATACAGGATAACATGAGTAAGTATGACAGGGGATCTAATTTAGAAGGGGACATAGGAAAGTTATTTAGAAAAATAAGGTACTGACTTTTGGCAGCATGAAAAACCACCTGTGCATTGTTTTAGATACAGTTGTAACATATCTCACCATGCACAAAAAGATATTAAATTAGTAAAAGAGAGAGAAGAGAGACCGATCCTTGGCTGGCCTTCATTAGAGAAAGCCAGCAGAGGGATCAATTATTTCTATTACAGGAAGGAGAAAAGTTATAGCAGGTCTGTGTTGCAGCATGGAAAACTCTACTTAAATGCTTAGAAAACATCACCAGAATCATTTAGCAATGGAACAAGTTGCTGATGGAATCAACTTCTCTGGGGAAGCCAGAGGTGGCAAAAGGAGGAAAAGTTACTTGAAGAAATAATTTTTTCCCACATCATGACAAAAAATGAATTTTTTCTCAGGATCACGAAAGTCACTTTATGAAACTGTACTCCATTTATGTTGTGTGTAC